GAATGTGCTTTAGAATTTCCTTTCTTGCATATGTCTTATAAGCTGTCCTAAGTTTCATATTCAAACTATTTAAGGTTCATATATCTCTTAATTCAGAAGACAGGGAACTTGCATATGACCCCTAAACTGTGTTTGGAAATTTTAGAACTGCTTGCTTTGTTCTATGTGTCTGAATTGAAAAACATCATTTTTTTGGCCTATTCTATAGCAAGAATAGGCAAAATGAAGGAGAGAAAGGAACGCAAGGGGGAAGACAGGGTACTGACCCATGCTTGTCCTGTTTTTATTTTGAAAGTGAAAGCATGATCTCTCGCCTGAATTACTGGCATGTTCTCTTACTCGCTACTGAAGATCTGTTCTTCACCCAACAACCTGAACTGTCATGTAGAAATACGCATCAGATACTGTTTAAAATTCTTTAATGGTTTCCTACTGCACTTCGAATAAACTCTCCCATGATGTGTCCTTCTCCAGCTCTTCAAATATCTCTCCTTAGTCTCTCCTCTGCTTTAAAAACATATCAAGACTTTTTCCACTTGACCTTCTTTTGCCAGGAAAGGGCCCTTTCAATTCACTTCCTTTGGCCTGGAATGTTCTTCCTCCTGTTCTGCTCATGACTGGCTTCTCAACATGTAGAGCTCAGCTGAAAAATACCATTGCTGAGTGACCTTCTTTGACTAATTTATCTAATAGAGTCCTGCTTCCATCCCAGCCCCAGCCAGCTCTTACAGTATCCTTCATTTATTTCTTTATAGCATTCAGCACAATATGAAATTAATTTCACTAATGACTTACTTTAGCCTTGTTCCCTTGGAGGAGGCTCTAAGTACCTAGAAAGCAGAGTCTTTGTCTGTTTTGACCATGCAGGTATTCTCATCAACTGTCACAGTGTCTAGCACCAATTCAGTACAAAACAAGTATTTGCTGAATAAGCGAATGAGTGAAATGAAGAATTTGGCCATGACTGGAGCATTTGGCGTTTGAGTATTTTCTTGAATAGAAAGAGGGTAAATTATGAAACATCTAGAATTTCCTCTGGAACTTTTTGTGGGAAAAGTTTGCGTACGGCAGAGATGAGGAAGTTATATTAGGAAGTTAGTGGGGGCCACATCCTGGAGATGTTGAATGTCATAGTACATAGTTTCTGGAATCTCTTTTGTGGTCAATGGATAGCTACTAAAGGCTTCTAAATAGTCAATGTGTACTTATTACTAGCTATGGAAAACCATAGTGAGTCAAAAGAGTTTCATTCAGGCATCAGTGTACAGAGTAACTTCTGAATGTCAGCAGGGTGTTGATTTAATCAGCATTCATTTCTTTTTCTGTGCAGCATGACTGCCGTGTACAGTCATGCTTCTGGGCTGGCAGGAGAAAATGCTCGCCTCAGTTCTTCACAGCCTGAGCTGAAATGACCCAGTGTGCCTTGAATGCATTTCTGGCCAGAATTTCTCATATCTCAGTGGGGCAGTCGGCTCCCTGAAAAGTTTGATACCATCTCGTTGTCAGATCACTCCCCTTTCCTCAGTTGTTCTTTATTTTGCAGGGTTTTTTTTTCCCCCTAATGTATAGAGTTACCATCTCCTGTGGCTTATTTTATTTTTATCTTAAAGGAAGTCCAGTGTGCAGGCTTTAAGGGCGGTTTGCTTTTTGTTTGCTTCAATGAAGTAGTGGGTAGATCATTTCTTAGCTGAAACCTAGTACTTACAAGGCTTTATAATAATCTCCATCCAAAAATACAGCATTATATGCAGCACCCACATGTTTGCTTGGACTTTTCCTACCACTTCAGATGTGTATATCTAATTTCTAAAATTGAGTGCAAAGATATCAAGCTTACAGTTAAAATAATGGCTTGTTTTCTAGGCTTTGGCCCCCAATTCCAGTTTCCTGATCTGGTTCACAGTGATTTAAAAGCCATGGCCAGTTCATGAAGAAGTTTCATAGTTTGACCTTAAGTCATGAAATCTTCTTAATATTTGTATTGGAGAAGATGGTATTATGATCAATACTGAATTATAAGTGGGGAAAGCATCAAATATGAAAGAAAAACAAGTAACAACAATGTGGTAAAATTTAAGAAAAGGAACCAATTTGTCAACATCAGCTGACAGTTTTCAAGAGCTATTGAATCATATTCATTGTTGATAATCAGTATTGAAGCTCTCAGTGTGAATTATGACTTCAGAAATGTTATACATTTATAAGTACAGTATAGCTTAGGAAGCACACTCACATATAATATACCTTTTGATTTGTGTATAAAAGATAGACTTGTTAGAAGTTCTTCCTCTTTTTTTTTGACGTTTCATAGATATCCTCTATATGTAAACAAACAAACAAACAAACAAACAAGAAGAAGTCATATGGCCCCTATTCTCAAAGAGCTCTACCAGAAAAAAACGAATATACTCAGGTAGGCAATGCACAAAAGAGTCTGATAAGTGCTAGTAGAGGAATAAGTAGAGGAATAGGGATAAGATGATATTGTGCTTAACTGTAGCTGGATTGTTGAGAAAGGATCTCTTAGAGAAGGCAAGATTCAGGCTTGGCTTCATGGGGTGTGTTAGATTTCAAGAAGGAAAGATCAAGGGACAAAGGCTCTCTAGATCAGTGGAATAGCCTGAGCAAAAGATGAAGGTAGGAAAGTAAAAAATAATAATAAATATTTTATTTATGTTCTAGCAACTTGAATGGCTTGTGCTATATAGAACCAGAGTATGTCAGTGCTAATCCTTTTTGTTCATAATTTATAGTTTGGCTCTTGACTAAAGACAGTTTCCACCAACCACAAAGACCTTACTATATTCTCATAAATTATGAGTCCATGGGAGTTACAGATTATACCATCATTGTTGACAACATATTTACATCTTTGAAACAGATCATTTATAAATTGTATTCTGTGTTTTTTTTTTAAATTTATTTACTTAAATTCAAGTTAGTTAACATACAGTGTGGTTTCATACAGTATTGGTTTCAGGAGTAGAACCCAGTGATTCATCACTTACATATGACACCTAGTGCTCATCCCAACAAGTACCCTCCTTAATGCCCATCACCCATCTAGCCCATCCCCCCACTCACCTCCCCTTCAGCAACCTTTATTCTCCATATTTAAGAGTCTATTATGATTTGCCTCCCTCTCTGTGATTGTTTTTTTAAGGATTTTTGTGATTTGTGAAGCACATTTATATACATTACACAATTAAATCCTTCCAAAATGCTATGCAGTAGATGATGGTATGGGTTTTTTGTGAGCACATTTTTTTCTTAAAGGAGAACTGAGGCACAAATGTTCAAAATGATTTTTCAAGGTTTACTTGATCAATATGTGTAGCCACACCCAGTTTAGACCTATTGTTCTTCCTCATCATGTGTAGATGTCCTCATTACTGTGTAGATGTCTATACAATTCATATTTATCTGTGTTGGTGTGTGAGAAGTTGAGAATATGTAAATTAAGAAAGAAACCACATCCCAAATTAGTGACAACCTAAATCGTTCTGTGAGCACAGAATTGAGGACAAAGGTAAAAGGGGCAGGGAAAGCAGAGGAGACCAGATTTATTGGAAGGAAGACCAGAAGCTAAGAGTACGCAAATTCAAGAAGGAAAGAGGTATTACTATTATTAGATGCAGTTAAGGATCTCAGGTCTTAAAATAGGGCAGTTTATGTTTTCTGTGGTTAAGGCTAAGATTATTAATCCATTACAAGATGGCAGAAACTGGGGACTTGGAAACTCAGTGCTTCTTTCTATTTTTTACTAATACTTGAGTGGCAAGACCATCAAAAGCAGATTCAGTTGAATCTTGTATGTTTTTCCATGATTTTTTGTTTACTTTTTAATAACAATGTGTTTTCCTGTCTTCATACTCCAAAATCGATCCAACATTATTTGAATTTTACCATGAAAAAGACTGCTAATATGAATATTCACTTCTCTGATATGGGGCAAATAGATGTGTCTCTATACATTCTCTGTGTCTAAAGCATAGGGCAAAATATCGCAAATTGGGTAAATTTAATTCTACTTTGTTAAAAAAATGCACCATTGCATTTCATGGAGAACAGTGTATTGTGTGGTTTAGGAGACGATTTTGTGGTGTCTGTGGAGTGGTTATTAAAAATTCTTCCTTTTGTATTAAAGAGAATCAAAGTTATAAGTCTGGAATCAAATATTTCATACAAAAAGGAGTGTGGTAGAGTGTTCTATGTGCTGTATTCAACACATCTTACGCATTGGAATAATCTACCCCTCTTAGTTTTGTATTCTTCACATTCTAAAGCCAGATAACAAATTTGGTGGAGTGAAAGGTATACTCCTTCCCATCCTCTGGAAAGGGATAGGTTTCTTTATACTCCTATGTATTGTCAGGATTAAAGGCAAAAGGAACAGAAAGAAAAGAAAAGTACAAGATAAAAATGTCAAAAATATGAATTAGAGGTGGCACAGCGTTGGCAGCTTTCTATTTTGTTTTTTGATGATTTTATTTTTGAGACAGAGACAGCGTGTGAGCGGGGGAGGGGCAGAGAGAGAGGGAGACACAGTCCAAAGCAGACTCCAGGCTTTGAGCTGTCAGCATGGAGCCCTACGTGGGGCTCAAAAACCATGAGATCATGACCTGAGCCAAAGTCGGACACTCAACCGACTGAGCCACCCAGGTAACCCAGCAGCTTTCTGTTTGGATCAATCATGAAACAATCAGAAGCATAAAGATTCAATTTCCCTGAAAATGCAGATGGCTCAGAAAAGAGCGGGAAAAGAATGACCTTGGAGTAGAGTATGTGTACCCATTTTCACCAAAGCCCAGATATCCACATGTCATTTTAGGAGCCCTGTCTATTACCGTCCCACTTTTCAGTATGGGGGTTGTATATAGTGAATGTGAGCTGGAACCTGCCCCGTCACTTTAGCTCTTGGCTCTTGGGCTAGTACTGAGCTGGGTTAGAAATGTTTGCCTTCATTTGGTCCTCTTTTTTTTTTTTTTCTTTCTCTGTAGCTTAACCAGCTGGACAAGGCAGTGGAAGCAGCCCACACATTTTTCATGGCTAACCCTGAGCACATGGAAATGCAGCAGAACATTGAGAATTATAGAACAATGGCCGGTGTTGAAGTCCTCCCGTTGGTAGATCGAGAAGCCAAACCACATCTGGTAAGCACCGCAGACCATTGCCCTCACCAGGTGCTCCCAAGTTTCATTTGACTCAAAGCAGATACCTGTGCATGAGGGTCTCAGGTTGATTCTCAATTTCCAATATAGTGATAGTTTTGTACTTTCAGAGTTTGCAGATGGCATAGTGTCATTATCAGGGTTGAAAAAATTGAGAGAAAATGAAAATACTCTTAGAAAATAAGTAATATATGATGAAAAGTAGAAAGCAATATAAACCTCTGTCTCCCTCTTTGAATGTCAGTGCCCCGAACCCTTTAATTTTACAGATAGGAGTTGAAGTAGTGTGAACTGCTCAGGTCACACTGTGGTTTCCCAGCTCCTAGTCCAGGTGTTTTTCTATCATACCTGTACTTTTCAACTTCTGATCATTTTAAAGCTACATAATTATTCACTTAAATGAAAGCTTACTTGAAACCGCAATAAGTTGGGGCTTTCTTTTTTTCTTTTTCTTTCTTTTTTTTTCAATTGGCGATGTCACCATTCTCACCAGTGATTTCCAAGATGACTGAAGAACAGGATAAGGGAAGGTTTGCAGAACGTTGTTGTTGTTATTATTATTATTATTATTATTATTATTATTATTATTAAACTTGGGCCAGGCCTGGAACATGGATGTGTCACAGCCACCCACATCAATCTCCCCGGCCTTTGGTGCATGGCCATAGCTATATGCAGATAGCTATGCAGGTAGGGTTAGAAAACATTTTCTTGCAGGAGCTCAGGAAGAATGTGAAATTTACTGGTGTCACAGCACTCAGCTTGCTGGGTAACTCCCATCTCGTTTACAATTACTTGAGACCACCTTTTATCTCCCAGTGCAAGCCTCATTGCTCTTCCACAGCACAGGAGCACAGTGCCCTCTGTCCAGGTGATCCTGAACCTGCCTGAATCCTGCTCTTCAAGTGCCCCAATATTTTTCTGCTTCTTTGCAGGAGAGTTACAGTGCAGGAGTTAAACATTATGAGGCTGATGACTTTGAGCTAGCTATCAAGTACTTCGAACAAGCGTTAAGAGACTATTTCAATGAAGATATGGAATGCAGAGCCCTGTGTGAGGGGCCACAGAGATTTGAAGAGTACGAGTACTTAGGGTACAAAGCTGGTCTCTATGAAGCCATTGCAGGTAAAGCTTATTTTTCCCTTTATTTATTTCCTGACTATAGAAGTACTACTACATGCAATCTGTAAACTATTCTAACAATACAGAAGTATGTGATGAAAAAAATTAAAAAGATATTTAACCCATCCCACTGCCAATAAATAAATCTACCTAGTTTAAATGTTGGTGACTGTGCTCCCAAACCTTTTCAGATGCATATATAAATGTTTATGTGTTTATTGATAATCATTAATTCATTTTTTTATAAAAATAAGACAATACTATGAGTATTGATTTTCAGCATATTTTTGTTTCTGTTTTATTTTATGCTTAACAGTGTAGTGTGGACTTCTTCTCATGTAAGTACATGTAGATCTACCTTATTGTATTTAATGGTTGTTCAATGTTCCAATATATGTGGAAAGCATAATTGACTGGTCTGCTTACTGATGAATATTAAGGAAGTTGAAGGTGTTCATTATTATAAACTATGTAATAGTGAATAATTTTGTTTAGTTTTCTTCAGTTATTTAAAAGAGCATTTTATTATATATGAAAATTTAATATATTACAAAGGGACATTTAAAATAGTAGATAATATGAATTATACATTAATTGGGGAGATTGGCTGGTTAACCATTTATGATGGGAAGCATATGTATGCAAAAACACAAAAATAAATTCTATGTTAACAATGTAACTATGAAATAAAACTATTAGAAGAAAATGCAAGAGAATATTTGTATAATGGAAGAAGAAAACCACTTCTTAGAATGACAGAAAACAAGAAATAATAAAGAAAAAGATAGACTTTACACAAGATTTATAATACAAGAGATAGAACAAATCAAGCTGAATTACAAATGACAAAGTGGAAAAAGTTACAAAATATTTAGATGCAAACAGTTAATATCCATAATATTTAAGTCTAACCTATATATTATTATTAGTAGTGGTAATTTATTTCTGATTTATTGATAGTTATAATAATAAGCAATATTTATATAGCAGTTACAATGTAGAAAGCATTTTACATATTTATGTATCTTTTAATCCTCTAAACAACTTCTTATAGGTGTATGGTATTGTTTTTCACCATTTTCTCCATTTTTTAAATGAGGAATTTATACCTCAGAGCAATGTGATTAAGGTGAAGCTGGAAATCTGGAGTAGCTGGGTGGCTCAGTAGGCTAAGCATCTGACTCTTGATTTTGGCTCAGGTCATGATGTCACAGTTCATTAAGATCAAGCCCCAAGTCAGGCTCCACACTGACAATATGGAACCTACTTGGGATTTTCCCTCTCTCTCCCTCTCTCTCTCCTTTTCTCTCTTCCTTTCCCTCACTTGTTCATTCACGCTCTCTCTCTCTCTCTCTCTCAAAATAAATAAATTAAGAAGTAAATAAACATTAACAACAAAAAATGGTGAAGCTGGAATCCAACCTAGGCTTATCTCACTCTAGAGTGCATATTTTTAGGTCTACATAATTGAAAAATGGACAAAGGATAACTTATTCAGTAGCACATGGCTAACAAATATCTGTCAAGTGCCTACTGTGTTCCAAGTTATAAATATATAAAAAACAGTGCTCCACTTCACCAATACCTGTAGAAAGGCAAATTACGGATGTGAGTCAGCTCTCCCCAAGTGCCAGTGTTTTTTGTCTCCATGAAAAGCACCACTCACCTAAGGAGTTTGAACCAAATCCCAATTGTTACCTTCCAATCCAACATTTCCCTTAATTGCTATTCTCTGATTGGTACCATAAGATAGGTGCTACCTCCTAATAGCGTGTAAGATTCCCTAGTTCTCTCTACCTCTTTTGTCACTGGTTCAAATCAACAGTATGTTTTAACAAAGCCACTATGATAGTCCTTGCTAGTCCTCATGTCCTGATGAGGTTTTACTCTGTAGGCAGACAGAACAGTCTTCTGAAAAAATGAAAGTACATTCACAGAACCCCCCTGCCAAAGACTGCCATTGCACTTGAAATAAAATCCCAAACCTTCAATAAGGACATCCATGGTTGTGCACTTGTGTTTATTTTCATCTTCTCTCTTTTTCTGTTTTTTGTTTGGCTACTGTGTTCATTTTCACTCACAGACTTTGAAACTTGTTTTCCTCTATTATTTGCCTAATGTTCTATATTGCTAAGTACTTAGACCTCAGGACCTAGGTATGCTGACTGACAAATAGTATGTGCTTAGTAAATATTTGTTAAATGAATGAGTGGAAGGAAAAAAGAAGGAAGGGAAGGAAGGAAGGAAAGAAGGAAGGAAGGAAGGAAGGAAGGAAGGAAGGAAGGAAGGAAGGAAGGAAGGAAGGAAGGAAGGAAGGAAGGAAAGGGAAGCAAAGGGAAGAAAGAAGAAAATGACCTCTCCATCATTCACATTGATTAAAAAGGTATAATACTATGTGTTTTGAAAACGTAGGTCATAAATTATTAAGGTCTTTGAGAGAGACAATTAGAAAACATCTTTTATTAAATTAAGAAGTAGACTGAAAATCAATTTGTTGGATGACCTATTTGCCACATACTCAGTTACCTAAAACCAACTGAATTTACCTATAATCAATAGAAATATCTGATTTATTGAAGATTTTTCCCTGTATGATTTTGTTTTGCTAGGCCTCTGGCAGAGTCATTTGCCTACATTTTTGTGAGCACTGCTCATTTGAATGTCAGTTTCATATGTGTTTCACATTTTAATTGTTGAGTATTTCTTGACACTTATTCTTTTATTTGGGAATCCTTTTCCTTTATTATAGTTTCCTTGTAATAGTGTAAGGATATGTACCCTGTCTCCATATCCCGCAATCTCCTTTACACCTGCCTCCATCAATGGTTACTAAAGGGCTCTAGTAAACACCCTACATCTGATTTAGGAAAGTGGACTAACTGATTCTTACAGAATAACATTTAGTGATTTGCTCGAAGTTATCATAATATGTTGGTTACTGGAAAAGAATAGAGCTCTCCTAACATAGGCTCTTAATACTACAGTGACCACCAATATTATTCCCACTTCCAAAAAAGACAAGAGACTTAAAAAGGCATCGTTTCTAAAGCTCAATCAAATATTGTATATTAAAGAAATATGGTAAGTCGTCTTGGGAACTTGACCCATATCCAGTTTATTATGAGAAGAAAATTTTAAAAAGTGTTCCCACACAAGTGACTTGGATCTCAAACTTATTAAAACATAATAATTGTACAATAACATTTGATCTAGAAAGGAGAAAAAAATACAACTAATAAAATGTGATATCAGGGTGCCTGGGTGGCTCAGTTAGTTAAGCGTCTGACTTCGGCTCAGGTCATTATCTCACAGTTTGTGAGTTTGAGCCCATGCCAGGCTCTGTGCTGACAGCTCAGAGCCTGGAGCCTCCTTCAAATTCTGTGTCTCCCTCTCTCTGCACCGCCCCCCCATGCTCTGTCTCTGTCGCTCAGAAAGAAAAAGAAAGAAAGAAAGAAAGGAAGGAAGGAAGGAAGGAAGGAAGGAAGGAAGGAAGGAAGGAAGAAAGAAAGTAAGTTAGAAACTTTCTAAAAATAATAATAAAAAATAAGATGTGATATCATAGCTCTGTGTAAATTCTTGTCTGGTTCAAAACTGTTCTAAATTAAGAGTGAAAGAGGCTCTTAAAATACAGAATGTATTTAGGAAGTCAGCATATTTGAATTTTAGAGTTAGAAGAACTTGAAAAATTGGAGGAAAATACAAATGGGTTTTGAATGCAGTTATTTGTTACTGTGCTGTTGAAGCCCTAAAGAACATCCTTGTGTCACTCTCATTTAGTTGCTATTTATAACTTACGTTGAAAAATACCTCCATTCAGATTTGGGGTTCTTCTTGGGTGTGTTTTCCACCTCTTCCTTCTGCTTGTCATTTGGAATTAGGAGGAGTGTGTATTAGAAGGTAAGAGGAATGCCAGTGGCCAGGCAACTAGAAACAAACTAGTTGAAGTTGTATGTTGTTTTCCTATGAAATGAAACAGCTATTTATTGGATTTTTATATAGCTGCTTTATTTATGAGATGCAAAAGAAATAGAGAGAACTCATTCTTCCCCTCTCAGCCTCCAACTGTAGTTAAGAACCAATGGACTGTAGGGATTCTGTTTGTTGTGCTATGCTGGGGTGAGTTAGCCAGACTGTGCAAAAACTGATGCATTTTCCTACACACCAGGAAGCACCCATGCCCTTTTTCTGGGGTCCCTCTTCACATCATCAAGATACAAGCTAAACTCTGCCCAACAGAGAACTTTTGAAAGGAGACATTTGTGGTAATAAAATGTAAAGTCATGATATCAGAAGGTTTTATCATCATTCTTATGAGAACCTGCTTTGCACAAGCATGAATAAACTCTCCTTTTTCTGCAAAAGACTATCTCCACCTTCACTGCAAAAATCATAGGTGGGGCAAAATGTAGGAAGTGTTTGCTCCTCTGGGACATTAGCCCCTTGTGTTTCCTCAGCTTATGCTTGGATGAGATAGAGCCCAAAGCTCGAGGGAGTGTGACAATCTCTACACTGGAGGATCCTCACCTATTTGTAAGTGAGAAGGATGGGAACAAAGAAAGGGGAACAGAGAGAGTCAGAGTGTATATCCAAATTCTTTAGCTTTCCTTCTTATCGTTTTTTTATCAGTTCCCACAGTATTAGGATTTCCAGTGTTCAGGTGATGGACCGTTTTGTAAGTGAATAGAATAGGTTCCTGATCAATAGATGTGAAATATAGTTTCTATTTCCCCTTTAGGAAAAGTTCTTGAAAATGTTAATAAGGAGAAAACGCATCCTTACTTCACTTCTCTCCATGAACTCCCCACAGGCATGGCAGCTCCTTTCCTTCAACTAGTCCTTAGCATAACCAGCATCTGAACATCCGATCTTGACCCAGAACAGTTCAGGCCACCCAGTATCCAAGGAGAGGCCCTGGACTTATTAAATAGGGAGGATTCAGCTGGGCATGGGTGGGGTGAGATGGCCTGCGTCACTCTCCAGAGATGAAGGAAAGGGATACACAGAAGGGGAGAGTGCAGCACTGAGAAAAGACCAGGGTTCAGAAGATTTGGAATCTACTATTAATTACTCTAGTGAACACTGATCAGGAGGCCTTGGCAAGTCACTTGCTTCCTTTGTGAAAACGGTGTCTGCTCATAAAGTAAAGATAATAATGAGATCACTCTAGGAGTGTGGTGAGGTGAGGCATGCCCTGGACAATTGTGGCTCTGATCTTGAAGTCTGGACACTCCAGCAGACGGGAGGGACCCACCTCTCACTCTTGTCTTCCAGATCACTACATGCAGGTGCTGGTTTGCCAGCACGAATGCGTGAGGGAGCTTGCCACCCGCCCTGGCCGCCTTTCTCCGATTGAGAACTTTCTTCCTCTGCATTTTGACTACCTACAGTTTGCCTACTATCGAGGTAAAACATGGCTCATCCCGAAGACCTGTGAGGGAGGGGTGTTGCTCATCATTACAGACATTGTGTTTTCCTCTGCATTTCTCAGTTTACCATTGAGGCAGTGGGGATTAATGTGTTTTTTCTCTCACCTCACACCACTGCAGCTCAGGCCACAGAGAGCAGGTGAAACCACAAGTGGGCAAATGCTGTGATAATGTCCTGAAAATTATACTAGGCTGACATTTTACATGATTTTTAAATAGAATTTTTCAACTTAATTTTGAAAGGTCCTATATTGGAGCGCCTGGGTGGCTCAGTCAGTTAGGCATCTGACTCTTGATTTCCATGCAGGTCAGATCTCATGGTTCTTGAGATTGGTCCCTGTGTTGGGTTCTGCCCTGACAGTATGGAGACTGCTGGGGATTCTCTCTGACCCTTCCCTGTTTGTGCTTCTCTCAAAGTAAATAAATAAACTTAAAAAAAAAGTCATATATTTGGACCCACAGGTCCAAAGATTAATATAAAAGCCTCCCTCTCTTCCTTTTTCCTGAAACCCAAGTTGGTGCCCTACAACGCAGTTTCTGATTTATCTCTTCGAAATACACACACACACACACACACACACACACACACACACACCAACTTACTTTCCCTGCTTATGAATAGAAGGTAGCATGTTAATTATATTGTTCTCTACATTGTTTCCTTCACTGAATAATATATATCAGCAGTACCTAGCCATCTCAGTCAGTGGAGCACGTGACTCTTGATCTTGGGGTTGTAGGCTTGAGCCCTCTACATTGGTGTAGAGATTACCTAAAAATAGAATTAAAAAACAACAACTCTCTCTCTCTCTCAGAATTAAAAAAAACATAAAAAAACAATAAAATATACCAGACTTTTTTAGTAAGTTGGTCCTATGAAATTGCCATTTGCTTAGGTCAGAAATGGTCAAATTTTGGCAATATTATATGGCTTGACCTAATTGTATCAGCACATGGAAATCTTCCTCACTCATATTTCTTGATAGTCGTGTGTCATTGTCCTATAATTTATTTTCTGTGTCTCCTTATTGATGGACATTGTGTTGTTTGCAACAGTTTTCTATTTCCATCAAGGATCAAATGAATAACATTTTATGTAGGTTATTTCACATTCATACATAAATATATATAGGATAAATTTCTAGAAGTATAATGCTATGTTGAATGGTTTATTCATTTAAAATTTTGATAGATGTGGCCACATTTTCTTCCATATGGAGTACATTTTTCATTGCTCATCCACAGAGTATATTGTGGAAATTTTACATATTCCCTAAACCATTAGGTGAATTTTTTAAATCTCAAATTAGTTTTGATTTCTGTGTATCTAATTGAGAAAAAAAAACTGAGCAATTTTCCTTATGTTTAAAAGAAATTCATAGAATTATGATTGCTAAAATTGGTTTTAGATATCATGTTGTCAAACTCAGTACAAAAAACAGAATTAACTCCCAAAAATCTGCTCTGCTTATCTCTGTTAAATGATATAAGTTATAGCAAACATTTTCAGGTGGAAACTTTTAATAATAGATGCAGACCAAAGCAGACCAAAGATAGTACATTTTAAAGACCTGAAATCATATCTTTCCTTTTGTCTGTGGCTAGTTTTTTTAAAGTATAATTAGCACATCATGTTACATTAGTTTCAGGCGTACAACATAATGATTCAACAATTCTGTACATTACTCAGGGCTCATCATGATAAGTGTGGTCCCCATCTGTCACCAAATAACATTATTACAATCTTATTGACTCTGTTTCCTGTGCTGTACTTTTCAACTCGGTGATTTATGTATTTTATACCTGGAAGTTTGCACCTCTTAATCCCCTTTATTTATTTTTCCCATCCCCCTACTCACCTCCCCTCAGACAACCATCAGTTTGTTCTGTATATTCAAGAAATCTGTTTTTATGGGTGACTATTTTAGTGTATGCACTTCAGCTTTACCTTGTCTTTCCTCTTATTCACGTTTAATGGTGACCTCTAACAGACAGTTTGAAGTGTTTCTTAAAAATCCTCTAGGGGCGCCTAAGTGGCTCAGTCGGTTAAGCTTCCTACGTGGGCTCAGGTCATGATCTCACGGTTCGTGGGTTCGGGCCTCGCGTCGGGTTCTGTGCTGACGGCTAGCCCAGAGCCTGGACACTGTTTCAAATTCTGTGCCTCCCTCTCTCTCTGACCCTCCCCTGCTCACGCTCTGTCTCTCTCTCTCTCTCTCAGAAATAAATAAAAAGCATTAAAAAAAATCCTCTAGATGGACATAGGCTCACTCTAATGCTGCAGTTCTTTGGCATTTCAGTCGGTGAATATGTGAAAGCCTTGGAGTGTGCCAAGGCCTATCTTCTCCTCCACCCGGATGATGAGGATGTCCTAGACAATGTGGATTACTATGAGAGCCTACTAGATGACAACATTGACCCAGCATCCATTGAGGCCAGAGAGGTGAGACCAATGTCCTGTGAGGAAACTGTATTCTGCTAGATGCACTGGGCAGAACTGGCAAAAATGTAGCACTGCTCTTAAAGATATCTAGCAGTTTAGTAACTGTTGTAGAATTCCTTTCTTTTGTACTTGATTATGAATGCCAGGAGCATATTTTACTCATATGTGATGGCTTGTGAAAATCTGTTGAGATGGAGACTTTTTATTTCTGCAGCTGTGAATTTTTTTAGCTCATTTGTCACTGCCTAATGAAAAATATTTCCACTTGGACATTTATCATATTTCTTAACTGTTATTTAGATATAAACTTTTCCTTCCTTTTCATTTTTTCCTCTAGGATTTGGCAATGTTCGTGAAGCGTCATAAACTGGAATCTGAACTAATAAAATCAGCTGCAGAGGGTCTAGGATTTTCATACACGGAGCCGGTAAGAGCAAAGAGGAAAAGAGGAAATGTTTTCTTTAAAGAACCATTCAATGGACTTCTTAATTATGTTTTTATTTCCCAGCTTCAATTACTGAAGATTCTAATCTCCTGCCTTACATTAACAAAATCCGGGGAGGTGGGGGAGATGTTTTTTCAATATGTGTGGTAAATGTTAAAAGGCTTTAATAGATCTCCGCGGCACTGAGATCCAAAGTCAAAAGCAAATATATCTGGGGAGAAGTGTTTTGTACCTGATACATTTGCCTCAGGATGGTTTTATGTCTTAAATTCTGGATGCAACATTTTGTATTTCTCTTACATATTTGAACCATTAAAAAGACTCCATAAAGAACAAAAACACTCTCCATTGTACTCTTCATTGTGCTGACTTTTCCCACTTGTCCATGTTGACTTCTGGTCATTCTGCATGTACAGACACATCTTTTGCAGATCTAGCACTAAGGTACAGAGAGATGTCTGTTCTGATCTTTATTTAGGGTTTCTTAAGCAATTTCTACATTTTTATAGCCTTTAAGATGATTTTTAGCTGCATATGTAGAAGTGATGTGGAATAAGTAATTATTTTCTTGAGTCTGAACATTTGGTTTGTTTCTGGTTTTTTTTCTACTGTATTTAATGCATGAAGCATTTTTCTCTATATTGAACTATGAATAAATTCCCAGGGGTGGGATTATTCTATTGTCAAGGGATATGAGAAGTTTTAAAGTTGTTGAAATTGCTTTTCTAAGAGAGTTTTCTGATACCTCCACAGCAATGCATAAAGGTACCAGTTTACTGTGGTACCTGGGTGGTTCAGTCAGTTGAGCAGTGACTCTTGATTTTGGCTCAGGTCATGATCCCAGGGTCATGGGGTAGATATCTACATTGGGCTCCATACTGAGCTTGTTGCCTGTTTAAGATTCTCTCTCTCTCTCTCTCTCTCTCTCTCTCTCTCCCTCCCCTCTGCCCCTCTCTCCGACTCGTGTTCTCTCTTTTAATTTCTATCTCTCAATTTTTTTAAGTACTAGTTTACTACAAACATTTCAGTAATGGGAAATAACATTTTAAAATCATTTATATTTCTTATGTACAAAATGGTATATCATTGTTGTTTTAACTTATATTCCTTTGATGACCAGCAAAAATAAATTTTTCACATATTATTATTAATTATTTTTCCTCTGATTTGAAATTATCTGGGCATACCTGTTTTTTATCCATTGGTTAACTACATATAAGTTTTTTATGTAATGCACATTATCATATATTTATAAAAAGGCACTGTTCGTAATATATCCTATTGTGACATATCTTTTCATTTCTTTCTTAGTTATGTTTTATTGGCACATTTTAAAAATTAGGATAATTTAAAATATGCAAAAAACATTCCTCTTTTTTTCTTATTTTGAGAGAGAGTAAGAGAGTGAGAGCAAGTGGGGGAGGGGCAGAGATAGAGGAGGAGAGAGAGGAAGAGAGAATCTCAAGCAGGCTCTGCATGCTGTCAGTGCACAGCCCAACGTGGGGCTCGATCTCACAAACTGTGAGACCGTGACCTGAGCCGACTTCAGGAACCTGACACTTAACCAACCGAGCCACTCAGGCATCCCTTTAATAAACATTTTTAATATGCTGATAACCAGCATATTAAAAGTTATTATAAAAAATAAACATTTTTAATATGCTGATAGCCCTACTATGGATTTTCTTTTTTTTTTTTAATTTTTTCATATTTATTATTGAGACAGAGAGAAACAGAGCATGAGTGGGGGAGAGCCAGAGAGAGAGAGAGAGACATAGAATCCGAAGCAGGCTCTAATCTCTGAGCTGTCAGCATGGAGCCTGACACGGGGCTTGAACCCTCGAACCATGAGATCGTTACCTGAGCCAAAGTCAGACACTTAACCAACTTAGCCACCCAGATGCCCCTGTTATTTTCTTAAAACTGCATTCTCCCAAGAGAATTCAGAAAAAGTCTCTTTATGATCCTGCACAGATTATTAATCAAGCTGGACATTTTTGTATGTTTGTTTTGTTCACAAAACATAAGTGAGTTGGACTAAACGATCTTGTAATTGTCTTCCTGACACCAAATTCCAAATCATTTCTTGGACAAGAAATATAAATGCTTCGACTAATTCCATGCTATTTTGAAAAATCCATTTGTGAAACACATTGTCTTTGCCAAAATAGCATCAACTTTAGTTTTTTTTATTAATCTGTTTATATATTACATCTTTATACAGTAGGCAAGTTTCCTAATGTTTTAGGTATTTGGAGGATTTTAAGTATATATTTTATTTTGTAAGTTATGTTTTAGTGACAAAGCTACTGATGTGGTGTTTGTTTGTTTGTTTGTTTTTAATTCAAAACAGAATTATTGGATCGGATATGGAGGGCGACAGGATGAGAATCGGTGAGTTCTTCATTCAGAACTCAATCCATTTATTTTTAATGAGGAGAAATACTTAGAGTCATACCCATTGTAAGGACCTTGGCTCAATGAAATAGGCAAAAATATCTAATTAAAAGATTCCACAATGGGAATTACTTGTTCAGCGTTCTGGTCCTAGCTCTTCCCATACTTCTGTGAGACCTTGAGTGATTTATCTTCCTTCCTGGTCTCATGTTTTTCCTCCAGTTTAAGGGGCTGGAGCAGGTGACCTCTGAAGGCTAAATATTCTGTGATTCTCAATCAGAGAAAATTCGATGCTGTTTTTAATTTATTATAGTAGGATAGAGCTTAATTTTTATCTTGTTAATGCTGAATTGCCTTGCTGCATTTGAAACCAAGGAGTTCAGAAAGTTTTCATGGCAAACTAAAATATTAGGTGTTACTAATCTAATCAGAAATGAAAGAACCTCATTTTTTTTAAATGATAGAAGTGGAAAATCAATGTACATATTATGAGCAGTTCAAGGCATCATAGTATGTTGGATTTACATGTTTGAGAGGACATGGTCTAGCCCATTCATTTTCAAGTTCAGAACCTGAGGTTCTGACAAGGCAAAGGACTCTCTCCGAGTGTCACCACAAGGCACTGGCCGATCAAGATCTTCCTATTCCAGATGTTGTGGTCTTTCACTAGTCTTCAAGGCCTCAACCTCTGGGTGGCCTAAAATTATTAGAAGATATCCAAGAGTGTATGTGTGTATTTGGGTTTATTCAATCCATATAATCTGGATGTTTATCAAGTTTGAAACTTGTGTCTTCTTTCTTGGAACAGTAGAGAACCACTGCACTAGGTCTTCATTAATTTCTAGTCAGTCGTTGTTCAGTGATGCACTCTGCTCGAGACAAAAATACAACACTCTGAGCATTCTAAAGATGCACACGATCATTTTTTTTCTGCTCTGTTGAGACTTAATGTCTAATCTCAAGGGGGTAAAGTTATGGATATAATTAACTGTAAAAAAAACGGTGCTAAGAAGATTTAGAGAAGTGAAATAGAGCACATTCTTTGAGGGAATAGAGGTCTTCATGGAGGCAGTGGCGGTTAATTTGATCCTGAAAGATAGATGGACAAAATATACAATATAAAACAAAAATATACAGCATAGAGTCATAGACTACCTGAGTAAGGTGCCTTTTGTCCTTGAGTGTCCTTATGCAGTGGGAAGTTCAATTTCAACTGTTTTTGATGGCAGAGTCCCTTCAGGAGTGAATGTGGAGGGGGCAGAAGTTCATGGATTGTCAATGGGGAAAAAATCATCACCCAAGATAGATCGAGACTTAAGAGAGGGTAAGTATCTATCTGTGTGCTTTTCCTTACAGCAGTGGGGAAAGGAGGAGATGGGACTTGTCTGGTTCTTACTTAAATTAAGGAAGAGCCCACTCTCTCTAGGAAGCAAAGAACAGGATTAAACTAGAATGTTTATAAAATTCTGAAAGCAAGACTTAAAAACAAAAATGTCTCAGGTCTGTGTATCATTGCCTTTGGTTTTCAATAAAAGTGCTTCCAAGGTCATTCCCTCATGTGTTTCCCACAGGAATCCTGTGAACTGGGCAGGGACTGAATGATCATTGTGATCCTCAGTTAAGTGCCTGAGGCTTGGAGTGTTCACAGGGCTTCCTTTTGTCATGCAGGGAGTGAGTGCTTGACAGTCCAGAATAGACTGCATCAGAGGAACTTGAAGAGACAGGTCACATGGATATTTCATGAGTTAACCTAAGATGTTTGAGGCACATATATCTGAGCAGGGCTCTGAGTGATAAGTAGAATCTAGTGAACTGACAGAGGTGTGGAAAGAGCCTTTCTACTGGATAAAACAAGTGGAACAAAGGCACAGAGACGGAGAGAGCAGAACATCATACGCCTGTTTATATCGGTTCAAAATTAGTGGAAACATATATAGAGTGTTGTCAAAAGTAGTTTATAAATACAGCTACACACTGTTATAATAGTAAGTTATTGGCCACAGTGGTATTCAGTAGTGATCCTTAACAATTATTATGATAGCTATGTATTTTAGAATTTTTCAAACAATTTTACACACAATTCATTTGAATATTGGAAGCATTCGATGTGAGACAAGTGTCCCCATTTCACAGGCAAGAAAACTGAGGCTCACTGAGTTACGGTGACTCACCCGATGTTTTGACAGCTCTTAATGGGTTGAGCAGGCATTCAAACCCAGGCATTTGAATCCAAACCCTATTTTCTCTTCCTCACCTAGAGATGGAACATAGAAGTGTTTAGACATCCAACGTGTTATCCTTTATTGATTAAATACGTGCAAGATAAGAAGTCTTTCAAAACGTGCGTTGAGAAGTACAGTTCTCCTTTCCCCAACAAGAGTGTGTCAGCACATTCCTCTAGCTGATTTGAACATTTCTTGCTCTCGCCAGCTCTCACATTTCCCAGCCCTTTCCTTTCTTAGCTTCCAAGTCAGTTTGAGGCAGTAAACAGGATATAATATGCTCATCTAATCTGACCTAGACCTCAGTTTGCAGCCACAAAGTCCAAGCTGTTTTACGAATGCCAGAGAATTTCATGATCAGCCAGAGTTCACATTGCATTTTAGGCTGAGAACTCACCCAGGAAGTACATGCCAATAAGCCAGCACTTTGCTGTGGATGTTTGGGAACCTCCAGGACAGTTGCCAAACTTCAAAGCATTTTTTTTTCTTGCTACCAGGGACTGTGACGTCCAGCACCTAACTAGGAAGGCTGGTATGAAGAGTAGAGTGGGAGACTGTACAGGATGGAGAGAGACCATTATTGGCTGGGCTACCAAGTTCTATCCTAGAGTTTGCTTAGTTGAATGGGCTACCGCATCTTAGGATGTTTTCTGGAAAACCACTGGAAAGCCTTCTGTGTAATCGCTAGAGATCGAAATAGTTTCTAAATTAAGAACAGAGGAAGACAGAGGCAAAGTTCCCAACCAAAAAAACATTTGCATATCTTAGTCTGGCTGAAAGATGTCAGGGGGCGAGAAAGGAAGCATGCTTCACAGAGTAGAATACATTTCAGCTCTTCTCATCTTCCACAAATCCATCATCATCTCCTCTGGTTACCTAACAGTATTTGATAGTACTCATATCGGACGGGTCTTCAGCACTGCAGGAGTGACCCAAGGCTACATTCCAGCCAGGGCTATATCCCAGAGTGACGCCAGTCCGTGGGACAGGCCTATCATCTCACTAGAACCATCTGTCACTTATCCATTCTCCTTTCAATACCAGTCTCCAAAGGTCTTGCTCCATAATATTCCCAGTCAGTATAGTAGAAATAACACTGAGCTAAGGGTGTCTGCTTTGCTCTGTTGATTAAGCGTCCGACTGCAGCTCAGCTCATGATCTCACGGTTCATGGGTTTGAGCCTTGGCATCAGGCTCTGTGCTGACAGCTCAAGGCCTGGAGCCTGCTTGGAATTCTACACCCATCTCTCTCTGCCCCTGCCCTGCTCACGCTCTGTCTCTCTCTCAAAATAAATAAAATAAACATTTTGGGGCGCCTGAGTGGCTCAGTCGGTTGAGCATCTGACTTCAGCTCAGGTCACGATGTCATTGCTTGTGGGTTCAAGCCCTGCATTGGGCTTTGCTCTGACAGCTCAGAGACTGGAGCCTGCTTCAGATTCTGTGTATCTCTCTCTCTCTCTGCCCCTCCCCTGCTCACCCTCTCTCTCTCTCTTTCTCTCAAAAATAATCATTAAAAAACTAAAAAAAAAAAAAAAAAAAAAAAAAAAAAAAAAAAAAAAAAAAAAAAAAAAAAAGGAAATGACCCTGAACTTGGAATCAGGAGTCCAGCTTTCCAGGATTGGTTAGTCTGATGTGCTGTGCCGTGATGGATAACCAGAGACGTGATCTCTCTGGGCTCTCTGACGCTCAGCTGTGAAAGACACGTAGCAACTTTTTGCAGAGGACCGATGTGAAATGTCTTTTGTAAACCATAGAGGGCTGTGCTCACATAAAGGCTTGTTACTCAGCACATCCCCGTTGTGACTTGTAGGATGTTGTAATATTTATGGCCAAATGCTTTTTCTTGCCATGTGAGCCACAGGCAGTGAGCACAAAGGAGTATTTTCCTAGATAATCCCTCGTTATTGCAATTGGAGAGTCAGAGCCAGGCACATACTTTATGAATGAGAGAAGAATTAAGTTGTTTAACTAAATCTCCTTGAGCTGTGGTTAAGTGTTGGCCGAAGCCATCAAATCAGGCCCCAGGAACCACAACCTATTGGACTACATTTTTATTTTTATTTCAGTGTTTTCCTCTGTCTGGTGTGCTACTAGGCATTTGTAGGCTGCTAGATGTGCATTTTTGGATGGCAGGGTTTGCTTTGACTTTTTTTTTCTTTTGGTTAGTAGTTGGGTAGTTGGTTGTTTTTCTTCTACATGAGTATGTAGGAAAGCTCTGTATAAAACCCTCTGCTTCATGGTGATTCTGTTAATTACATGAAAGGCAGATTTCTAGAACACATTCTGCCTGAACCTGTTAGTGTGTAGGGAGTTAGACTCCATGCTGAATTCTGTCTCTTCATCTGAGTTTTGTGTGTTCTGTATGGCATGCCTGGGGAAATTGTTGATATCTCAGTAACACTTTTAAAAATATACTCCTTTATGCCTCAGTCAGAACATAACACAATATACCAGGCATATTTGCCAATAGTACTATAATAATCAATACAATAATACCAAATACTTACACGGTGCTTGAGAACGGTGAGCATTTTTCTAAATGTTTTAGTTTTAGTAACTGTTAAAGCCATATTTGAAAATAAGGTAATTATATATAAAGTAATACACTCTCAATATAGAAAAGGAAAAATGTATGACAAAGTACAAAGCACTGAGTTCACCAAACCCTTAGTCCGTCATCCATTTTTATTTGAGTTTTATATTAGAAAATGCTTTTCAGCGAACCTACAACTAAGTATCTTGTCTTGCTTGTTGATAGAACAACTCTTTAACGGTTTTTCTAAGTGGGAGTGGAATATCTGGTTTATTTCTCCAAATATTTGAGAAACTGCCTCAATTTGGCTATGAATGTTAATCAGGTATAGAGATTAGAGAAGCTTTTCCCAAACAACCTATGTTTTATGTTAAGTGGTTCTGTCGGGGAGAGGGGGAGTCTACTGGTTTTTACTGCCACAGGAAAAAAAATAACACAAATATAACAACTTATAATAACATCCATCCACTATCTCACAGTTCCCACAGTTTCTAGGGTCAGGAATTTGGGGATAGCCTAGCTGGGTCCCTTGCTTCATCATCTGTCGTAGGTTTCCATCAAGTAGTTGATCAGAGCTCGGGTCTCTTCTAAGGCTTCACTGGGGAATGATCTTCCAAGCTCAGATGATAGAATTTGGTTCCTAAAGTCTTAGTGGATAGCAGTCTGCAGTTCCTAGTTGATTGTTGGCTGGAGGATGCCTCATTCCTTGCCATGTGAGTCTGTCTAATGCGGCCACATGCTTCATCAGACTGCAAGTGGAGAAAGCAATAAACTGAGTCTGCTAGCAAGATAGAAGTTGCATTCTCATGTAATGCAGTAACAGAAGTGACATTCCATCACCTTTGCCACATTCTGTTAACTTGGTTAGAAGCAAGTTCAAGGCCCCACCCACACTTGAGGAAAGCGAATCATGCAAACCCATGAATCCCAGGAGGCAGTGATCATTAGTAGGCCATCTTAAAGTCACTCTGCCATAGGAAGGAAGGAAGGAAGAAAAATAGAGAAGGAAAGAAGGGGGGAAGGGAGGGAAGGAAGAAGGGAGGGAAGGGCTAAGATTAAGGGTTAGAACTGCTTCATATTATTTCAGTACTCAGGATATTCATAATGCCTGTGTAGGACTAAAAGTCCTAAGAACTCCTCTTAAATTTTATGTAACCTAGCACTTCCGAAACACATTTGATTAAGAAACTCTTTTCATCAAAAACTTTCTGCGAAATAAAGCCTGAGAAACACTGAATTGTGTATGTATGTCTATTTTTTTTATTCACCCAAAAGATTGGTACTGAAACTGTAACTTGTGGTTATATTCCTGGAACCCAAGAAATTCTGTATGTATAAGTTTTGATGACAGTTAAAAAAATTAGAGGGGCAACCAGTGGGTCACGTAAATAACCACTTCATAGTCAAGTACTACCCTGAGATTTCATACCGCAGTGGGTGCAGCTACTATCACAGAGGCACCAGTTAGTAATACTTCAGTGGTTGAAGACGGACAAGAAATGAAGTACAAGAAACTGGTAAGTAATGTATTAGGACCAGGTAAAGGCCCAAATTCATCATGGAACACTACAATTTCATAGTAATTTCAAGAGAGAAAAGTTGCAGTGGAATGAGTCATTACACACCCAAAATACTATGAAGAATGCTGGCTGAGAAGATTCTGGGCTAGAGCAGTTAGTAGAATATTCACATGGAATGTAGCTTTCTGGTTTCTGCAAAATACATTAACCATCTCATTAAGGCGGTTAACTTGAATGTAGTTGGTTTTATGGTCTTGCTTTTATTTAATCTTGTCAATCAGTTTTGATATTTGAGTTATTGGAACCTCTAGAGATAAATATAGCCCTCATAGTTCTATAATATTGCAAGCATGGAAGTAAAATTGTGGTAAAGTCATGTGTCAGCCCTGCCACTCCTTAGGGAATACTTCTTTTCCCAGATTACCATATATTCCTGAAGATAGAGAAACACGGTCTCTTCACGACTTATGGGCTGTGGGAACTCTTTCATCCTAACTAGACTAATGAAATTGGTGTTTTTCCTACTTTCACTAATTTGTTTTCAGGAAAATTTGAAACATATTTGTTTCCCCTAATTTGTTTTCAAGAACTAGAGTAGGCAGAAACTTCGACTGATTTCTTCATTCTCCAACTGGTGTGTTTTAGGCTGGTGTGTTTGTGACCATTGCTTCTTGGGGGAAGAGAGAAGCCATGCCCTCTCTGTGCTTCCATCCAGGGTGAACTGGTGTTCATGACAGCACATGTCAGGTTCCTCTGGAATCCTATAGAGAGCAAAACCCTGTTTTTCTTTTCTGTTCAGTTTTCTGGTTCAAGATGGCTGTCCTCTGTTACATCTGAAGAGCTCCTCACCAGTGGAGGCTTTGTCCTTCAGTCCTATTATCTGGGAGGAAAGGGCTTTGTCAGGTCTAGATTTCGTACATGACCCCCTAAAACATGCCCTCAGAGCATTATGATCTGAAAAGCCTATATGGGCTAATTTCATAAAGCTGTGGGCTGTCTCCAGGGAAAGAGCAGGTACCTATAGGAAATCTTCCTGTGCAAAGAAAATGATACAAAGATTTACCCAGAGAACAGAGAAAAGTAAGTGTTCTAAAAACAATACGTAGAGTCAGTTAGATGGTGGGAAGAAGACTGGGAAGGGGTTGGCTGGCTTGGGTGTGACTGTCCTGAGTCATGCATTTACCAGCTGAGTTCTGTAGTGAAGGCATTTCTCCACATACCAGTGAGACTGAGGTGTGTACCTCATGTGCGGGTGCACAAACATGGCATCAAGTAATTGCCTACGATGTTGTTACAGAATTAGGAACCAAGGGTTGTGGAAAAGGATGGGTGCTGTTGCCCAGAGATTTCTGGAAGGTCTTCTCAGAGCAGAATCCTGTGAGATTCAGAGTCTGCATTACAGGGTCACCACTGGAATCTGATGAAAAGATGGTTTATAAAGCTCCAAACACTATCAAATGTGTTAATATTATTGTGATGTCATGGAGAAGCCTGGTAGCCAGACGTCTATCTTTTTTTCTTGTATCCATTTTGAACTCGTCAAGCTTCCGATTTGTCTTTGCCTTCTTAAGCATTCGTGGGCAAACTGAGTCTCACAAATTGCACATTGAAGACTGTTGGGTGTTCTGCACTTCCCCCCTTGGGAACAGAGGTAACAGAGAAGGCAATGTGTTCTGTCCCTTCAGGCGGCCCTCTGCTCTATGAGAACATCACGTTTGTCTATAACTCGGCGCAGCTGAATGGGACTCAGCGGGTTCTCCTGGATAATGTCCTGTCGGAAGAACAGTGCCGGGAACTCCACAGCGTGGCCAGCGTGAGCACCGGGGGGGGAGGGGAGCCTGGCTGTGCTGGCCTGATGTGAGCCCTGGTCCTCGTTTCACTTGGAGTCAGGGAACCAGACCTGAAATGTCACTTTCCATAGGACAGGGACATTGACTGTGGGAGCATTTTAATATCCTTGTTTGGAATTATTTTGTCTAGATCTGGACACTACTAGTAGATCTGGAGTAGTTAGTGGCTTCATACCTAGAACAAGAGCCATTCAGCACATGCCCCAGCTACTATATAAAGTCATTGGGAGAATCTCCTTATTTTAATCAATAATAAACAAATGTATTAATCATTTATATTCTACCTATTTCTACAAAAAGTGATGTTTTATAAGGAAAATGTAGAGTTAAGTTTAAATAAAAATATCTCTTTTGATCAGAAGAATTAATGATGCCATCATCCTGGTACAGAGTAGGGATGGTTCTGGGGCACCTGGGTGGCTCAGTCGGTTAAGCGTCCGACTTCGGCTCAGGTCATGATCTCACTGTTCGTGGGTTTGAGCCCCGCGTCGGGCTCTGTTGTGACAGCCAGCTCAGAGCCTGGAGCCTGTTTCAGATTCTGTATCTCCCTCTCTCTCTGACCCTCCCCTGCTCACGCTGTCTCTCTTTCTCTCTCTCTCAGAAATAAATAAAACCTAAAATTTTTTTTTAACAAAATAGGGATGATTCTGAATATTGACTTTGGTCCTTAGCTTCCTGGCAGTCAAGGCAAAAAGGGAGACCTGAAGAATTCATAGTTGTGATTATTAAAGCATCTTCTTTTATTTTGCTTCCAGGGAATCATGCTCGTTGGTGATGGATACAGAGGAAAAACTTCACCCCATACACCCAATGAAAAGTTTGAAGGTGCCACTGTCCTGAAAGCACTCAAGGTACAGTCATAGCTTCTCTTTGTATTGGGGTTCCTAAGTGTCAACCCAAAGCCTTCTATGTATGGCAGATAATGGGAAAAAACGTTGAGAATGTAGACCTATCAGGACAGATGAAAGGAGCAAGTATGAAATTTCACTCCATTGTTTTAAATCATTCCTTGATTCCTCCATGTAGCCATCAATTTATCAAACTTTATATCTCATCAATTTGCAACTGACAAGTAATATACACCCCCCCTGTCTTCAAGGAACCCCTGGGCCAGTGGTGAAATCATACTGAACCACGTGACTATCCTGTACCACAACAAGTGTTGTTGAGGAGAGAGAGGAAAGTTCTCTAAAGGAGAGAGGAAGAAGAGATTCGCTTTCAGTGTTCCCTCTGTGATTAGGAAGGATGACTTTCAATGGTTCATTTTACTGACCAAAATCCACAAGCATGTAATTGTATTCCCACTAGTCAAGGCAGACATGACCCTCCTTATATTGCCTTCCTGAAACCTGGTGTCTGTTTTTTCTCAAGCCTTCCAATCAGCCCCGTGCTATCTAGTGCTCTTCTTTTTCCTCAGTTTGGTTATGAAGGCCGAGTCCCACTGAAGAGTGCCCGTCTGTTTTATGACATCAGCGAGAAGGCTCGGAAGATTGTAGAATCCTATTTCATGCTGAACTCAACACTGTATTTTTCCTATACACACATGGTCTGCCGAACAGCCCTGTCTGGTAAGATTCCAGGGTGTGAACTTGTTCCCTCTTACCCACAGTGAAATGAGGAAGAGAACAATGTAACACAAAGCTCTGTTGCATTTTAGACTAATGGTTTAGCGAAGTTCCAAATTCCTAAAACAGAAGAACCTTGCTAACTCTTATTTTTTCCTTCCATCTTTTACACCTTTTTGGTCACTTAAAATTCCAGAAGGCCATCGCTCTGCCTATCTTTCCTTTCAAATCCATTTAAGCAAGTAGCTTATAGTCACAGAGAAATACTTTTTCTGCATTAGGTTTTTCCTTCCAGGGAGACAGGAACCTGGAAATTACAGTCTCCCTTCACATCCAAAAGCACTAAGTGGAAGCAAGGAAGATGAAGGGATCGTTGGAAGATATGTTCTCGAAAAGGCAGAGGCCACCTCACTCCCTGCTGTCATATTTCTTCCCTAGATCTTTTCCTCCACACCTTCCTGGGTAGGAGGGGAGGGACAGTGCCATCGGAGTAGACTTTGACACGTGAACTTTCAGCTGAATCTTTTTTTTTTTTTTTTTTTACATTTTCATTTCACCCCTCTCCTTTTCCTGCCCTACATGAAGTATAACCCATGGAATGCAAGGAATTTCTATTATGTATGTTTATGTCAGGAAACCTTTATAGCAGAAGAGGCAGATGTGACTTGCCCGTGGTTTTACATAAAGTTTGCAACAAACCAGGACCAGTTTCTTGACTGCTATTTGGCTCTTTCATCTCTTTGGGTCTACTTATGTCTCCCAAAAGGACCAGCGGTGGGAGAAGACAGTCAGGTTGTGAAATTGGCTGCTGGAGGTCACTGCTGCCCTGTCATTCTCACCTGCTCCCTTTTCTGGCAGGCCAACAAGAGAGAAGAACTGACCTGAGTCATCCCATCCACGCTGACAATTGCCTGTTGGATCCTGAGGCCAATGAGTGCTGGAAGGAGCCCCCCGCCTACACATTCCGGGACTATAGGTACAACCAGCACAGGCTTCCGAAGCAAGCTTCTGCCCAGCAGTTATCAAAAACCCATGGACACACGGGGCGCCTGGGTGGCTCAGTCGGTTAAGTGTCTGACTTCAGCTCAGGTCATGATCTCGCGGTTCGTGGGTTCGAGCCCCACGTCGGGCTCACAGCCTGGAGCCTGTTTCAGACTCTGTGTCTCCCTCTTTCTCTGACCCTCCCCTGCTCATGCTGTCTCTCTCTCTCTCTCAGGAAATAAATAAAAACATTAAAAAAAAAACCAAAACATGGACACTAGAAAGCTGATCTGTTTTGCTTGTCATCATTATTCATCTCTACAAAGCAGAGATTATCAAATAAGCTCCCAAAGCAGCTGCCACAACCAGGAAATGATGTGATCATCTCATTTAAAAAAATTTTTTTAAGTTTATTTTTGAAAGAGAGAGAAACAGAATGAGTAGGGAAGAGACACAGAGAGAGAGAGAGAGAGAGAGAGAGAGAATCTGAAGCAGGCCCCAGGCTCTGACTGTCAGCACAGAGCCCCACGTGGGGTCAAATTCATGATCCATGAGATCATCACCTGAGCCAAAGTTGGAGGCCCAACCTCCTGAGCCACCCAGGCACCCCAGTCATTCTCATATTTTTATCAAAAATCTCAAGCACAATTTGTTGCATCTTAGTCCACAAAGTGCTCATTTTGTTTTAATATAAAAACTAAAAGTTTTTTTTTTTTTTGATCATTTTGCTTTCACTGGAACATATTCCTTGCGGTATGCGTATCTCAGTCTGAAAAGACAAGAATATGGTGTCTCAATGCACAAAGGGATCTTATAATGCCACTTACCTGTGTCAGCCTTTTATACATGAGACACTGGAAAGTCAGAGGGAGAAATGGGATGATATGTAAGTATGTAAAGAGAAGAGTCAGGAGTTGTAGCCTCCAGGTATATAGTAGGATGTTTATTATCATTGCAGTGGGCTCCATACAAAAAACCTTTCTTGATCACCCCCTATCTTTAAGGCAAGACTACACCTCTTGGAGCTCTCTAGTTACTTACAGGGAAAATGCATTCTTTAGAGTTACAAGCACAAAAGGGAAGAAGAGAGTTGTAAGCAGTGTGGGCAGGTGCAAAGGGGTAGATTAAATATCATTAGGTTTTCTTGGGAAAAAGTGAAATGTGCATTGAAGTTTGAAATAGAATTAAAATTATAGCATAGGTGGAACAAATAAATACTTTGAAGGTAGAACCCAAACTGTATGTATCTGACCTTACTTTTACTCTTTAGGGTTAGGAAAGTCGGTTATTTCAATATCTAGTTCAAAGGAAACTTACCAATCGGGCTGGTCAGTTTATAGCCATTCTTCAGTATTCTGTGATGATGTCATTGTAAGCATAGAATATTATAAATGGTTTTCTCTTTTTTTCTTATAGTGCTCTCCTGTATATGAATGATGACTTTGAAGGAGGGGAATTCATATTCACTGAGATGGATGCCAAGACTGTGACTGTAAGTAACCCTATACAGGCAAATTTATGTAGCATTTATCTCAATCTTGCCATTTTTCAAGGACTCACAGACTATTGGATTTCAAATAGCTGAGCTTGAGAATTCAAGAGGTTTAGAGGGGCCCCCAAAATGTATCCCTCATAAAATATTAGAAATGGAATCACCAATAAAATCTCCTAGTCCACTTCACAGATGGGTAATTTGAAGAATATAAATATGAAAGATTTGCTCATGACCATATAGCTGGTTAGTGTTAGACTTAGAACCAGAACTTAGGTCTTCCGATTCTTTGTCTTCATCAGTAGTCTGATGGAAGCATAAAAATACCTATTTCTAAGTCATCCCTGCCTAGGACTAGAGAAATCATTCTACAGAATAGTTTTCAGGCAACCTGGTGTTCTATATGCTTGGATTGAGCATTGGGCAATAGACCCTAGGTATCAAAATTATATATATATATGTATGTATATGTGTATATATATGATTGATATATGATTGACTGTAAGTAAACCTATACCTGAAAAATTGTGTGTGTGTGTGTGTGTGTGTGTGTGTGTGTGTTCATACACACACATTTTGGATGAGATTCTAAGCACATCTTCATAGGTAAAAATCAACATTTAATTCCAACCACTGTCTTTCTAAGCAAACCAATATTTTGGAAAACCAGTCGACTGACTTAATAAGCCATATAGCCAGCAACCTTTAGACTTTAAGCCAAAGCACATACGCCATGGTGGGAAAACATGTTTTCCAATTGAGGAGATAATTGAATTGTTCATAGATTATGAGATACATCTTTCCTCCACACAAAATCTAAGTAGTTGAGGTGTGTATCTGACAGAGGATTTTGCATTATTCAAGCTATTTCCACAACTTTTCCTGAATTTTATGTTTTTCCTCTCCTATTTTGTATCCTTTACTCAATAGCAAAACATCCATATATCATTCATGGCATACTACTGGGGTATAAGCAGCTGAGATAAAACAAAAATCTATACTACTGGATTTAAAGGGAGGCCCTATGGAGATTCTGGTTAAAGCTGTACAGAAACATTGGAATAATTAATAAAAAAATTTTATACAATTTCATGCAATGATGTATATCTAAAAGGTTATCATGACTCACACTTTTTTTTTTTTTTGTAAAAGCTTAAGTATCAACAGAGTATTTTAATGCTTCATGATCTGGGAAATTAAATCAAGATCGATGATCTGGGTTGTTTATAATCCTGGCACAGAATTATGTATATATGTTTTGAAAAGCCTCTGTGCACAAAGCATTTGATTTCTGAGCTCTGCTAACACTAAAATTTTTAAATGCTTGCATCTCACACAGTTGGAAAGAAAATCAGAAAGGTGGTTGAAAAGATTTCTTTGCTTCTCCTCCATCTAGTGGCCATATTTGGGAATGCTCAATATCTGAAATTACGTAAGTGATGCCTGGACTACCATGTAAGAATCAGTAACTCATTAATTACTAAATGCAGGGTTTACTGTAAGCCTGCCTTTTAAAGATGTGAAAGCAGATAATACCAGATAATACTGCTGTTTCATGTAGCTATACTTCCAAGAGAATGGTGTGAATGTTTTAAAAAATACTGAATCTAACCATCACCACTACCCCAAAAAAGTAAAAGAAAAATCTATTTATTTTTTTTAATTTTGAACATTTAATTTATTTTTGAAAGACAGAGAGACAGAGAAAGAGCAGGGGAAGGGCAGACAGAGAGGGAGACACAGAATCTGAAGCAGCCCCCAGGCTCTGAGCTGTCAGCACAGAGCCTGACATGGGGCTCGAACTCACTAGCTGTGAGATCATGACCTGAACTGACGTCGGATGCTTAACCGACTGAGCCACCCAGGCGCCCCAAGAAAAATTGATTTAAACAATGTTTTGATTCAAAAGCTCCAAGTTGACAGATTCATTTTCAGAGATTAACTCTACTTCAGATTAACACACGGTAAAATTTTTAGGGCATTTTGTAAGTAATTAAAATTCTTAGCTAATCAGACCTAATAAAGAGAAATGGACAGTTTTACTTTTCATTTCTTTTACTCTGAAGGGACAAATGAAGCAGAGAAGTGGCCGAAATTGGGGCTATATAAGGTAGCAAAGTCTTCTAAGTTTTTACTTAGGAAAAATCTGGGAATTGCATAATTAACTAAATGGTAGCTAAAGATGTACATTTACAAGCACAGCGCAAAGGCTTCTCTGACTTTTAATCATCAGCTAGATGGAAAGCAAAAGAAAATTTCCTTTATCCTTCTTGGAAGATACATGGATTATTTCCAACAGCAGTGTATTTGTGAAACATGAGTATTTTGGGATTTGGGTTTCTTTGCAAGTTTGGAAGAGATGAAATTTAATAAGTTCTATTTACTTGGTGAAAAGTTAAATTTAATACAGAACTTTGTTCCAAAAGTATGTTTACAATCATCTAAATTGCAGAACATATTTTCCTGTAGTAGTAATGTCATAAATGAAGATTGTTTATTCCTTTTACATGGCTGATGTCTAACCAGTGACACTCTCCATTTGATAAGATGAGTCACAGAGATTTCTGGGAGCCTACACACCTATAATCAATACCAACTGTGCCAGGCAGCTGATAGCTTCTTTTCCTAAACTTTCCCAAGTTCTTCATGTATAAAAGTACTTTCAATTCATTGAGTTGCATCAGGGAGAAAGAATCAAGTTGTCCCCACACACTTTCTTTAATATTGTATGTAAACTTACTGCTGACACTTGATAATCACACAGAAGCGATGGCAACCTTGTGTTGTTGGGTGAATCCTTACCAGCGCCAGGGAGTAAGCCTCCCAGGAAACTGGAAACTAGATCTCAAAGCGGTGTGTATTCAAAGGCTTTCCGACTCTACTTCATATGTTTCAAGTACCATTTATGTTGCTGTTTCTATGTGGAAATATCCAACACATTCTTTCTCCAGAAAAATGAAATCAGATTGATACCAAGGTCACCAATAGCTAGCAAACTATCTAGATTTACCTCAGAAAAGTCACCTTGCTAATGCTGCATAAAAAATCAACTCTCCCCAGCAAAGACAAATCCCTCCTCAATTACTGTGAATAGAAGAGTAACCAGAAACTGACTGCTTTTCCCTGCTCTCCCCTTTAACACACACACACACACACACACACACACACACACACACATCTCTGACTTTCTGACTCCTCAGTCCACCTCCCTCCACCTTTCCATGTGTAGGTTACAGTCTAGGGGTACCTATGTTAGGTAGTATCCAAAGGCTTCAGGAAATTTTCTAGATGTTCCTCCTGAAGCTGGCAGTGAAAAGACATAGCCTCCCATTTTGAGGTGCAGGAAACCAAAGATTCTTCTAATGGACATGTATTAATCCAAGTCAATTCAGGAAATAACTAGTTAAAATGAGCCCCTCTTATTAAATAGTAGAATGGTGCCTTTTTTCCTTTTCTTTTTCTTTTTTTTAAATGTTTTTATTTATTTTTGAGAGGGAGGGAAGGGCAGAGAGAGAGGGAGATGCAGAATCTGAAGCAGCCTCCAGGCTTTGAGCTGTCAGCACAGAGGCTGATGTGGGGCTCAGACTTGTGAACCATAAGATCATGACGTGAGCCCAAGTCAGACGCTAACTGACTGAGCCACCTAGGCACCCCTACTTTACTTTTCTAGGGTGTACAATGGAATGAGTAATGTTCCTGTGTTTCTCAAGAAAGAAAAATGAATTCTACTGACATCAGACACTTCTTAAAATGCAGAAGCTAGGCCTCTCATATTCTGTTGGTTAAGTTCACTCAATTTGGAGAGCCTGCTTATTTTCTCTAACACCCAGGCTCCCCCAGAAGTGCCTCTTTTCTCTCTACCCTCTTCTAATTACTCATTAGTGAACACTTTGACCTGAGCGATGCACAAACTTGGAAAGATGGTGTCCGTCATTTCAGAGCCCTGGAGGCCATGGAATAGGTCGCCTCAAGGGGTAGAGTGTTCTCATCAGTAGAGGTATTAAAGCATCTTCTGAGGACCATTGGACAGGCATTTTGCAATGGTAATTAAAGTCTCATGTGAAATTAGACTTGACTTTTACAAATTTTTGTATTACGAAAAGTTCACAAGTGTACAATTAAGGACAGAGGAGGAGTACACCCATCGAGCGACCACCAAGATCAACAGTAAACATTTACCAGCATTCTAGGTATCCCCTTGATTTGTTTTTGTTATCCCACAAGTAAGAAATGGACATCTACCTTATGCCAGATGCTGTGCTAGCTCTCAAGGCAGGGGAGGGAATTAAAAAAAGCCCTTGTCTCCATGGAGTTTGCCGGCCATAATACAGCATGTATTGAATAGTCACTTGTGTGCCATGGACTATGCCAGCCATTTTACCTGAGTGACTTTATAACTGAATTAGATATTACTTTGAACTTATCTTCGTTTTACTGTTGAGGAAAGTGAACCAGCCCATGTCTAGTTCAACCCCAGGATTCCATTATTCTTTGATTCAAAACTTGACCTGAATAATCCCATAGATGGATAGAGAAAAGGGTCATAGAATTCTCACGATACAGAATTGAGAGTCTACTTTTGACTTTCTTACTCAGGCCTCTATCAAACCGAAATGTGGGCGCATGATCAGCTTCTCTTCTGGGGGAGAGAACCCTCATGGAGTGAAGGCCGTCACCAAGGGCCAGAGGTGTGCTGTGGCTCTGTGGTTTACCTTGGACCCACTTTACAGAGAATTGGTGAGTATGTGACCCACTCAGAAGACCAGTTAGGTGCCCAAAAGACCTGCTTCCTGAATTGTTTTATCTGAAGAGTCCTTTAACTCTTCCATATTCTTTAGGGATCTCAGAGATCAAAAAAATCAACAAATCAATCCCATCAAACTATTACAGAGTCCTGTATTTCTGGTTTCCACCACTGGTTCTGTTTTCCAAGCAAAGTCGAATTTCCCTGTTTGATCCATGATGAAGCAATTACACGTCTGATGCCTGTAGTGTGAGTCTGAGAGAAAGAAGAGGGGCTTGCAAGGCATTTCTTGATCAGATGGGTTCTAATAAGTGAATGTTAGTGGAAATAGACATCAGAGTGATAGCTTGCAGTCTCTAGTTAGTCTTAAGCTTAGTTACAAACCGTGGCATCAGGAGAAATGAACCACTTTCTGCTGGGCACCAGGAAGACTGATTTGTTTTCTCAAAAAATCATTAAAAAGAGCACTAAATAATTTATGAGACACGTGTAGAAGAGGATGTGTAAACCTGGAGGTTTATTATTATTTACTATTGACTTAAACATTACATAGTAAAATATCCCTACTTTGGAAGTAGACACAATCTGAATAAGGAATTAGGATCCCATCCTTCTGGATGCCCCTGACAGGAGGTAATAGTCTCTGTCTGTGAGGCTGCAGAGGAATGAGACCAATGGGTAATGGCTGTTGGGAGGGAAATGTTGGCACAACATAGGAATGACTTTCAAATCGTCTAACCGTTTGGTGGAGTCGCACGCCTCGGAAGTACCAAGCTCCTTGTCACTAACTGGCTCCAGCCCAAGCCTTGGCAACAGCTTGGCATGGGATGCTGAAACTGAACAGAAATGTCATGGTCTTCAGCTCCCTCCAGGCCTGAGTATTGACAAGCTATGAAATTCTAGCCTTTAAAAAGGCATTCTATCCAACTTTTTCTTTAGATGCTTTACTTGAAATTAATTCCTCTGTATGAGACACACTTTTTACCCATCAGATCTGACTCACACAGTTTTTAGGCCACATTCTGTGAGCATTCTTTCACATACTTCATTTACAGAAGGTCTACTTTGTGCCTGGGAAACTCTGCTAAGAGTCCTGGGGGTACAAGGGTGACAGAATATAGTCCGTGACCGTGAGGAGCTTGGAGAGGTCAACTAGCAAGTAAATCGAAGAAGCCGTGTGGGTTTTGTAGGGGGCATCAGGAAGCCTGCTGCTGACTGAGATGATAGCCATTAGCCAGGCACTGGAGAGCGGTCCTGACCGAGGGGGGGGGCAGAGCACATAGTTCCGAAGACTCCAGAGGGACACTGAGCAGTCTCCCTCAGCTGTGATTCTTTTCTTTTCTTGTGCTTCTCCACTCTAAAATGCCGACCCCTTCTCCCCTTCCTCCCCCGCCCCAGCCTCCAAACCAGGGAATCCAGGCAGAGGATAATACATTGTTGGAACATCACCACAGTCTTTTCTCTCCTTAGTGTTCAACTCAACAGACATTGAGTCAGTTTCATTACTGAGTATCCCAGCTCTCTCTTCTAAGATATTTTCTATCAAAATAAACTAATACAAAGTAAATTCTCTTGGGGCGCCTGGGTGGCTTAGTCGCTTAAGCGTCCGACTTTCGCTTAGGTCATGATCTCGAGGTTCTTGGGTTCGAGCCCCGCGTCGGGCTCTGTGCTGACTGCCAGCTCAGAGCCTGGAGCCTGTTTCAGTCTGTGACTCCCTCTCTCTCTGACCCTCCCCTGCTCACGCTGTCTCTCTCTCCTAGAAATAAATAAAACATTAAAAAAAAAAAAGAACAACAACAAAGTAAATTTCTCTTGGCTCCTTCCTAATCCAGAGCGTCAGGAACCGTCTCCGGAACCCGGGCAATAGCGGCATCTAGTGGTCACAGGAGAGAATGACCAGAACCTCTTGAGCAACTACTAGAAAATTTAGCAGAGGGGATTCTCAGACTCTGCTCTGCACTGTAACCACCCAGAGAGTTTCACAAACTACTGGCACCTATCTGCCTTCCATCCTCAGACATTCTGGCATAACTGATACGGAGTGTGACCCGGATGTGGGGAGCTTTAAACTCCCCTGTTGATTCTAACATGCAACAGGAGAGTCCTGAGAAGGTGCCTCTTCTCAGATTGAATCCCCGAGCAAGGAAAGCCTATGAAGGGCTCATCAGAGCTTGCAGGTTTCAGCACTTGCTCTAGGTTGTTTTAAAGGTCTCAGTGCTCAAGGAGTAGTTAGCATCATAAATTCTTAAGGATGTACAGAATCAGAAGCTGCAGGTCCCTGTACATGGAGTTCCAGCTCACGAACTTCTTTCCTTTCAGGAGAGACTTGATTTGAGATGTCTCTTGTGGCCGTCTCTGAGGCAGTCAGATTTGAGAGTATGTATCTGTTTTGTACCGATACAGTTTGCTAAGCAGCAAGTTATTGTTCCCACGTTCATGCAGTTGGGCTCAGGCATCTTGGCAGGACTTTAGCTCTCTGTTATTAGGATATTTGGTCCTTTGGGTTGACTTTATGTAAGCATCGTTTTCAGTTAGGAGGCCTGGAGTGAAACAAGGGCTTTGTTTTCAAGTCACAAGATAGCTTTCCCACAGCTTGCTGCACGAGGCGTCGCGCTAGGGACCAGTAGTAGGCAGCATGGACTATAAGACATACTCCTATTTTCAAGGAGCTGGAGGTCAAAATGGAGACTTAGTGCAAGAGCTAAAGTAATTAAAACACCAGGGAAAGTTCAGTAAGAATTATTAGGGGCAATTGCCCGTGTTAGGGGATATAAAGAGGAAACCAGAAAAGCTTCATGGAGGAGATGGCATTTAGCACGCAGCTTAGGGGGACAGAGAGAGGGCCATTCATCCACTTCCGTATTTATTGATCAACCAAAATGGAGCCCTTGCCAAATGTCAGTGGGCTTTCTGGACACCTGATATGTAGCGGTGACCAAAAAAGACAAGCTGTCCTGCTTTTATGGCACTTACCTTCTAGTGGAAAAAGAAAGTAAGTAAAAGAAGAAATAATTGAGAGATTTCCAGATGGTGAGAAATGATGTGTGGAAAAAGGAGCAGGGTAACTGATTTGAGAGTAAAGGGGAGGTGACAAATGGTGCGGTCTCTCCAGACAAGTGACGTGTGAGTTGGCACCTGAGTGACAGGAAGAGGCCAACTGGGGTAAAGGTCATGGGAAGAGTATTCCAGGCAGAGAACAGGTTGCAAAGGCCCCGAGATCAGAGGTGGTATGGAGTGGTTAGCACAGCAAGAAATCAGAGCGGCCAGAACATGGTGGGCAAATGCAAGATGGACAGTGGTCTGAAAAGGGGACCCAGAAGAGGAGGAGTCAGACATGACAAACTAATTAAGAATCATGAATTCCATTGTAACTGGGGCAGGGAAGTCATGTGCCCTCTCCTGCTCTCTGCCACACGCCCCCCCCCCCCCCACCTCCATCCTAGGAAGTTACAGATTAGGAAAGGCTCTGTCAAACTCTAGTACCTACAGGAGAGGAAGCTACATCTGGTCTACACGTTGTGGACTAGAATAGTGACAGAGAAGGTGAATGAACACGGAAGGCTGCAGGTGCCATTTGGAAGTAGACCACCTGGCCCTGTTGATGGTTTGGTGGATGGTAAATGGAAAGCCTAGGATATGATGGAAGCGTCCCGAAAGACCTTAAACCTAGACTAGGGCAAGGGATTTCTTTGAAGATGCTGCATTCAGGGACCTCAAGGTAAGTCAGGAAGTTACAGAATAAGGTGAGATGAGAAGAGAAGGCAAGGGGAACCAATGAAGAGAGAAAGGTCTACCTGTAAGCACACCAAGAGGATTGGCCTGGAAATCCGAGCAACAGGAACCCAAGCAACAGTTGTGAGCCATGAACCAGACAGTGACGGGGTCCAAACTGAAGTGCAGAAGGCTCATTAGAAGCATGTGCAAGTGGGTGTGAAATGGGGATATGATTCGGAAGCTGAATTAGATGATGAGAGCCTAACCCTGCGGTTCTCATGGCACATTCAGCAATGTCTAGAGACTGGACTACTGGGTGTCTGGAGTGGGCAGAGGCCAGGGATGCTGTGAAACATTCCACAAGGCACAAGTCTACCACCACCACCAAAGAATCATCTGGTTCAAAATGTCAGTAGTGCCAAGGTTGAAAAATCCTGCTCTAAACCACGGCAGCAGTAATGCGCCTTGAAAAGGGGTGGAAACAGGAGGTAGAACAGAAGGGAGTAGGTAATTTATCAGACCCAAGGAACCATGGCTGGGCTTTTAGGGCAAATGGGTGAGCAGAAGTGGTCTTTCCTGGGAGAGAGAACTTGTATGGAGGACCGGCCTAGGTGTGTGGGACAGAAAACGCCGACTCCAGCCTGAACACCAGATTGGAGCACTGAGTGGGAGACATCTATGGAACCACAAAGTAGAAAGGGTATTGGTCAGTTCAATACATAAGACTTCTTGGCCAAAGAGAAATCTTGGAAAGTCGTTGTTTAGGGCATGAGGAAGGCAGTCAGCAGAAGGCACCAGTGGAGGGAAGGAAGTGAGGTTTAATTTTCAACTGGATCTAGCACCGACCTATGCACAGATGGATGCCTGGAAGTGTTTGGGAAGCCCCCGCCACTGGGGCTGATTCTGATTCTTGTAACAGAACCGTGTACATGATCTTTCTTGTAGGAGCGAATACAGGCCGATGAGGTGATCGCAATTCTGGATCGGGAACAACAAGGGAAGCACGAACTGAATATCAACCCCAAAGACGAGCTATAAGAGCGAGGAAAGAAAAAGTTCTATCAGATATTTATTTAAATTGTTAATCTTATGAGAACGTTTTTATTTTTGTACAGAGCCATGGTATATAAATTAACAGGTTAATCCAAGTCACCAGATTCCCCTTTTGTTCTCAAGGATGCTTGCTTTGCCCCATTCCGTCTGTCTGTCTTGATTTCTCATCAGGTCATCAACTCCCCCCGTACACACACACACACACACACACACATGTGTGCACACACACGCACCTCGTTTGCTGCACATGCAAAAGCTCCAGCAGAAAGAATAAGTTCATTCTTGGCGAAACTATGCCTCTCATGCGTGCTCCAGTTCTGCAGTTAGCGTGTGCTTTGGACGCGAAGCCTTTCTGGCCATGCGCCCTTCAGCAACACCCTCTCGCAGTGTTGGCGGCCATGAGCCGGAGTCTGAGGGGCCCCCGGTGGGGTCTGCACTGCCTCATGCATCACTGATCCGCTCCGAAGACCCCTGCAGGGCACGGAGGGCCCCAGCCTTTCCAGGGCCTTGGTGGAGTTCTTGGCTCTGCTATTTTCATCTGAGAACAGAGTTACACTGGAAGCTTCGATTCATTCTCCACAGCGCTCCAGAAAGGACTGCCCTAAGACTTGTGTCTTTCAGAAGGCTGTTGAGGGGGGTTGAAGTAGCATGACCCTTCACCCCAGTGACTTGGGAAGAGACTCTTCCACCCCGCCTGAATCGGGACACCTCCCACACATTGCCTGATTGTGGGCTCCGTGGGCGAGAAGAGCCATTTTGTAAGAAAGATGGATCTCTGATTGATTCCAGTATTCACCTGTGTGTATTTTGGTGCCCTCTGATCTTTGCTGCTATCCAGTTCACAGATTCATGCTTGCGTCTGATTGTTTAATACCGGGAGCCTTATTCTAACACCTGGCATGTATTTTTTGTCTCTCAAATGTTCGGTGTGTCTTCAGGGAATGGTTTTGTGGCTTTGGGGACAGCCCTGGGACAACATTGGGCCGCGGCTAGTTTTGCTGGCAGGTGCTTTGGGGCCACAAAGAAAGTGGAGGCACTGTTTTTGAAGGAACAGAAATGGTTAGCAGAGGTGTGCGTCCAGAGAACCATTGGTCCTCGGCCAAAATTCTAAGGCAGTCCTTCCGAGACATTGTTTGGGTTGGAGCTGGGTGGTTATAGCCTGGGGGAAGCCTGCGCCACTAACCCGCGGGAGGGTCCCCGCCTCTGTGACGGGCACTGGTAGAAGCAGTAGTTCCTAAGTAAACCAGCACATTGAAACATATTCTGACAATCACGTTTCCTTTCTTGCCATTTATGATCTCGGGTGACGGCAAGCATGTTCATCCTTTGAGGCTGAAAAACTGAGTCAGAGTGAGCTGTGTGCCGTCTGTTTCCCACCCAAACTTCAGTTAGGGGAGAGTGCAAGGAGCACGAGATGATAACCGCAGCTGGACAAGTATGCCTGTGTGACCTGGAGCTACTGTCTTTCCCTTTCTGGGCTTTGGTTTCCTCGTCTGAAAGTCACGTAATTGGTCATCATTGTTTCCAAAAGCCCTCCGCCCTCTTGCTGGAACTACAAAGCAAATAAAAGACAAAAACAAAAGCGACCTTGGAAATGTTTACAAATACAACCAGATTCACTTGGACGTACATTTCGAGAATCGTGAATGGGTTCCTTATGCATAGATGTGATTTTACAAACGTTAAACCCAACTTGAGGGCTCACACATCCTGAGCTTCGAACAGGTAGGTTTCTGTTTGTTTGCTGTCTCACGGGGAAGTGTTTGCTGGCACTCCGATTTGCTGATAGGAGAATCTGGGCAAGATCTAATTTCTGTTTTCTGGCAACAAGGCATCAACAAAGGACACAGTCTTCGGCTCCTCCTAGTTCCTGCCTGCTGGGGGCTGCCGAGCTCGGGGAGGGACGGGGCCTTCGGCGCCGGCACCGACGCTGAGACGCCCCCACCCCACAGAAAGGGGGTGATGGCCTCCATAGATGGCGTGCGGATCCACCTCCAGCCATGCGCTGGCTGCTCAGAGGAGTGATTCCTGTTTTTCAGGTTGCCCATGTGGTTTTACGCTTGGCACATCTTGTATCCACTAAAGCATTTATTGTTTAATCTGCTCCGCATCAAACCGTACATAATTTTATTCAGAGAGTTTGGGAGTGGCATCAGATGCCTTGAGACAAACCTGAGCAGGGGCTGCTGAGTCGAAGGATGTGAGGGTGTATGGGCGCTGGCATGCTGGCGCAGGGTGGTGTCCACTACAGGGAGGGGTGCCTTTCCCGAATTGGCCATAGACGGTACTTGCTCCCCATCTGTCGACCTGGAGGGCTGTGTCTGTCCAGAAGCAGTGGCTTTTTCTGACTCCCTCAGAAGTGCTGTATGTGCTGGAAACAGCTCTGGCTGCAAGGCCCACTTGTAATGACCTCACGTCCAGGCCTCTTAGGCTATACCTCTTGGGGTACTACCACTGGCCTGATGACCATCCCTCCTGTGGGTGCAAAGTCTTCACTTTCACAAAGCTTTTATTTTCACCTTATTATTGTGTTGGATGCTTATAAGCAGAGCGTGCTCACACACCAGCACCCCGGGACATGTTCTGGGTACAGATCATGATGCTCCCTTCCCAGATGAAGAAATGGGTGGCGTTGAAGGGAAACTGGAGCCTCTGATCACTTCACTCCGAGTGTCTGTGTCTGAGGTAGAAGCACAGCCTTTTGAACAGGAGGGATCTCTCAGTGTGTGAGTTTGAGCCCTGTGGGGGGCTCTGTGCTGACGACTCCGAGCCCGGAGCCTGCTTCGGATTCTGTGTCTCCCTCTCTCTGCCCCTCCCCCTCTCGCTCTCTGTGTCTCTCTCTCTCTCACACACACACTAAAATAAATAAACGTTACAAGCGTATGTAACAGTAGGGGGAAAAATTTGACTACGTTGTTTGCTCCCTTGGCCATTCTTCCAGGATTTTTATTAAATATAAAATAATACATTAGTGGGAAGAGTAAGATTTTTAGAAAACCTGAACTTTTGCTCCTCTCTTGTTTTTCCTGCTGAGTGATGTGTGAAGGCATATTTCCCTTTCTCTCCTCAGAGAGGCACTGAACAGGTTGCACAATTCAATGAGATCAGCCTCACTTTGGACAAAACATTGGGTGCCAGGCGCTGCCTTCAGGAAGCTCACGAAACGAGAGAGGCTTCTTTCAGTCAGGGGTCATTTTCCTCTTCCTCCCGGGCACAAAGAACCTTGAACATCAATTCCTTCTTGAGAAGACACTGACACAACACTGAGCCATATTCTTGGATGCGCGAGGTGCTCTCTTCAGAGCCCTGAATATAAATTGTTTGACAAGAAATTTTAGTTTCAATGCAGTCTTCGTCATTCCTGCGTACATAGCATTTTTTGGCGCTTATTCAGCTGAGGAAAAGCCATGGAATGAGTCACTGCTGCTTAATAATATATACCTGTGAATTTTAATTGAAGTACTAATGCTGAATGATTTCACAGAAGACCGCCACAGGGAAGAACTGACGTCAAGGAAGGAGATGATGGGAGCCACCTCACCGATCCCTTCTGCCAAATAATTAAACATTCTGGGGTGACTGACAGTGGTGTGGCTGAGAAGTGGGGGAAAGCTGAACTGTTCTCACATCCAGAATTCTTCAGGGAGACGGGAGCCATTTGGCAAAATGTCCAAACCACAAGTTAGATTGGGCCTATGGTTACGATTCTTCTCTTCCCCTTGCCAAGAAGCCTGCGATGTGAAGTGACCTCCCCACCTAGTCCCACAGCCCACCCGCAAATCCCCTCTCGCAGATAATTCGATGTTTCCAGCATGAGACACAGGGCTGTTTGTTTGGGACCCGGTTGAGTTCTTCAGACACACTGAGACAGGTAACCTCAAGCACTCTTTGAGCTCATTGCTGGGTTAGAGCTGCTGGCTGATGCTGTCAGAACTTCCCCTCTGTCCTATCCACGGAAAATCACCACGTTCTCTGTGCCCCCTGCTGACCTTTGAAGCCAAACAACGTCAGGTCTGGAACAATCTGATTGTGGATCTTGGCTTGCTTCACAATGGATGGCATCAGCCATGTGAAAAGTTGGCATGGGAGTCAACCTCTGCCCTCAAAAGTCTTGTTAAGGGCCTACAAGAAAAATAACCAAACAAGATGTCCCTGCCCTCTCTTTTCCTGTTACACATGTGCCAGGAGGAAGGTCTGAATGCTCCTTTCATTCGGTCTACAACACACCTTTTCTAGCCACTTGATAGGAGGGATACACCTGAGAGGAGGGGGAACAGAGGGTAACAAGAGCAGAGTTTAACAGCCTTTCCACTCCATCCATCCTATTCCTCAGGCGTCCGCCCTGCAAGGGCCACCCACCTGCCTTCCTCATTCCAGTCTCCGACAGTGAACTGGGTGTCATCCGTCTATCTGGGAAACTCTTGCCCTTAGCCCCTTTGGTTAGATTTAGGTGCCTTCCCTCTTTTTTTTTTTTTTTTTTTTTTTTAATGTAAGCTTATTAATAGATACTGGGTATGTTTTCTTTCTTTCTTTTTTTTTTTTTTTTTTACAAATAGCTTATTGTCAAATTAGTTTCCACATAACACTCAGTGCTCATCCCCACAGGTGCCCTCCTCCATGCCCCTCCCCCCTCCCCCCCACATCCATCAGTCCTCAGTTTTTGTCACCTATGGTGGGGGAAAGGGAGAGAGGCAAACCTCTTGATGGCGGTGTCATGGCACAGGCTTTGGAACCCCTCCCCCGCTTCTAGTTAAACCTTCTCTTCTTCTCCCAAGTTGCGTTTCTGCCTCCAAATTACTACCTCATGGTGGGCGGGGATAGAAGTGAGGGCCGGGGAAGATGCATTACCTGCCATGTCTCATCTTTTTCCACTTGTAAATCATACATGCTATTGTTTCAAAAGGTTGTAATCATGGTTGGCATTTATTATGCTTCTTTATGGTCTCAAAGCACTTGGCAATCATACGTAACTACACAATTATCGTGAGAGACACAGGGGTGCAATCTTCATTTTGTAAACAGGGAAAATGGTCAGTTGCGGGGGAGGGCTGGAGGAGAGCTCTGGTCACTCCTGAATTCATTAATCAGACAGTTTTCGAGCGGCTACTGCATGGTGGGTTTAAGGAGGCATTCAAAAATTACTAAGATTCCATCCCGTCCTTTAAGGAATTCAGAGTAAAGTAGGAGAAAAAAAAAAAGATGTAAACAAGTGAAAGCAAAATGAGGGAAATGCTGTGATAAAGAATTACAATACTGGACACCTGGGTGGTTCGGTCAGTTAAGCGTCTGACTTCGGCTCAGGCCATGATCTGGTGGTTGGTGGGTTCGCGCCTCACATCAGGCTCTGTGCTGACAGCTCAGAGCCTGGAGCCTGCTTCGGATTCTGTGTCTCCCTCTCTCTCTGCCCCTCTCTAGCTTGTGCTCTGTCTCTCTCTGTCTTTCAAAAATAAATAAACACTCAAAAAAAGTTACCGTAGAAACAGAGACAAAAAAGGCCATGTGAGTTGGGAGAAGGGAGCGGGTGCAGAGAGGGAAGGCTTCACAGAAAAGGCACCCGTTCAGAGGACACTGGCTCTGCCACCAGCAAGCAGAAATGAGCCGCGTGACCTCTCATCCCACCACGGTGTCCTCCCCTGAAAGAAGCACAGGGTGTGGTCTGGATGCTGAAATGTTAAGCTGTCAGAAAAGGAGTTCACATAAAAGCTGGTGTTCTGGAGGGGGCGCGGAATGGGATCTTTATTGCAGATTGCCCTGGGAAAGCACTTTAATGAATGCTGTGAAAATCCGAATAAATACCACTTTATAAGGAAGTGTTTCTTATTACCCTGTGAGGAGGTATATTTAAGTGGGTGCGGTGAAGCCGCCCAGGACCATGCTTCTTATGAACAGCAGAAGAACAGCGAGTGTCAGAGGGAGCTGAAGCGAGCCCCCGCCTTCAGGGAGCCCTTGCAGTGGCCTTCGCCCCTGCCCACGAGTCCATGAAACTTCCGATCTCACGTGGCCTGGAGCCAGTCCACTCACTCAAATTCTTAACCTTTCATCTCAGAAATGGGAATAATGAGCATATCCCGGCCCACCTAAGGACAGTCAGGTGTGTTTCTGGAAAGCCTCAAGCATTTGGTAAAATTAGTCAAGGGGTTAGCAAAACCAGAAAGCTGTGCAATGCTTTAGTGAGGACATCTCTTCCAGTGTCAAGCAGGGAACAGGGTTTCAGAGGCTTTGGGAACCCTTGGAAGCAAATCATTTCCAACAAGAGTTAATGGGGCCCATTTGCCTCATTTCAAACCAAAGGGCCGCTATAGGACATCCTTCAATGAGTGTCCAATCGTACTTACTGTGTTTGTTCTCTGTACCTGCTTTTGGTTGATTCACCTTTGCAAATGCCTTTGAAGGTCTTAGGTAATTATACTGCTTAGATTTAAAATAAATTATAGAGCCCCGAGGCTTAGAAGCTAACTTCAAGGCTTCTGGTCAGAGGAATATGGCTGTGCTCTCCTGATCTTCCGATGTTTGGCAACATTTGCTGAACAGACAGCAGTATTTCTATTGGATTTGAAATTCAGTTTCAGGACGGGATATTCT